GGTGGGGGGGGGGTGCTGCGCCGGGGCAGGCAGGGAACAGACAAAGAAACAAGAATTTGGTTGGGGGACGCTGGGGGTAGAGGTGGAGCTTAGGAACGGGTCTGGAGGGTCGGAATGGCCAAGGGGAGGCCAGTGTGGCTGAAGCCTTTATGCTGGGGAAGGACACAGCTGATAATTGTTGAAAGAAGTGCCCTGGTGTGTGGGGGGTGGACTGTGGGTGGCCAGGATGGAAGCGGGGACAGTCATAAGGTACGTCACTGCAAGTTTCCAGGGAAGGGATGATGACGGTGACGGTAGCCTGCATGGCGACCGACGGAGGTGGCTTGACTTCAGATGTGTTCCGCCCTTGGCGTGAGGGGGAGGGACGGGGTTCTGGCAAGAGTGCCCAAGTGATTGATGGAGGGCCCCTTTGCCCAAATGGGAAGACTGAGGATGAGTCCAGTTTTTCTGGAGAAAATCAAGAGTTGGTTTGCAGAGGCCAAAGTCTTAGGAGCTATTGCTGGTTCAATCCATGAGATACTTGGGCTACCCCTGGGGTTTCTTCTTAATGAATAGGTCTTCCCAAAGCTCATTAGACCCCCAAATGTGGACTTGTTCAAAGTCTGGTCTTAAAACCTAACAGTGGATTAGTTCTTGAACCCCGGAGCCCCATAATTGTCTTGTTCAAACCAGCCCTATAATTCTTCCCTTCCCTTCCCTCCCCTTCCCTTCCCTGTCCTCTCCTCCCCTCCCTTTCCCCTCCCCTCCCTTCCCCTTTCTTTCCTTCCTTCCTTCATTCCTTCCTAAATTCTATAATTCCAAGTTCACAGGCACAATCAATGACTTTTAGCTACTGAGTGCCTGTAATGTGGTGAGTCTCAATCAAGGTGTGCTCTAAGTAGAAAACACAGGATTTCAAAGACTCAGGAAAATTAGAGGCTCCTCGGTGGCTCAGTTGGTTGAGCATCTGACTCTTGATTTTGGCTCGGGTCATGATCCTAGGGTTGTGGGATCAAGTCTGGAGTTGGGCTCCGTGCTGAGCCTGGAGCCTGCTTGGGATCCTCTCTCTCTCTCCCTCTGCCCCTTTCCCACTTGCACATGTGCTCCCTGTCTCAAAACAAAAGCAAAGATTTAGGAAAATTAGAATGGCAAATATGTTCAAATGATAGTATTCGAGGTATGTTGGCTTCAATACAATATATTACTTAATTTTTTTAACGTTTATTTATTTTTGAGACAGAGAGAGACA